AATGTCAGTCAGCTTGGAAGAAATATTTGGTCTTCAAGCGTTCCTGTCAAGACTAAGAGCCAACGACCCCAACTAACAACAAGGCAAAGATGATAATGTAGAAGAAAAAGGACAGAAGCCATGCTAATCTCAAATTTAAAATGACACTTTTACATAGATTTAAAATTACAAAAAATTTCAAGATTTACCTGAATTTGAGAATGAATTAATCAGTGATTTAGTAACACTGTTAAATTTAAATCTTTACTACACAAGCAAATTTTAAAAAATATTAACACTAGTTTTATTTTATCTACATTTCCTTCCGATTCCCATTACTGACTATAAAGAGACAGATACTAAATATTTTCCCCTGCCACATATTCTCTCTCTGTGCATTAGACATCATTTGTTCTGCTTGAATAAAAGCAGCAAGCAAAACCACTGATAAAACTGCCTTCCTGCCAGTAATGTCCCCACCTTTCTAATATAAACTGCTCTGGGAAAGATGTCCTTCATTTACCAAAGAGAGGTCATTTACCAGGATATGTGGAGATATAAAAACATATTACTATAGGGATACAGAGAGGGAAGAGACAACAAACACACCTGTTGTAACTAAGCTTAGCAATTTTTTGTTAGTGGATACAAGCTCACTGAGGTCAATACCTCTTTCACTAGTTGGCCCTCGGAGACAGTGCAGCATTAAAACTTGAACATCAGAGACTTAATATACTACCAGAGGACATAAAATCAAACAGCTTTTGCTGTAAAAGTTGCCAATTGTTTTCATTTAATATGATGAAAATATTGATTGGAGAGTGACAATTGATATCTGGCCATCAAAAAAGTTTTGTACTCTGCTGGAGAAGTACATTGAGAAAGTGCATATACATATATTTCCATATATTTCAAATATTGAAATCTATATTCAGCTGGGAAATGAAAAGAATGAGTTGGATGAAATGTTCTTCACCATGCCAAATGAAACTGACCTAAGGGGATAGGTACCCTTCAAAGAGCCCCAAAACGTTCAAGGTAAATCTTTATGCACTCTGTTTTTATGTGCAAGATTTGTGTATTCAAGCCTCAAATGGTTTGGTTCCCAGGTACCCAAGAAACTACCACAATATAAATATTGTACACACATTTCAGTGTATAGTATATAGAGCAGCATAAACAAATCATTGTCTGTATGAAATTTTAGTTTGTACTGACTTCACCAGTGCATTTTATATAGCCTGTTGTAAAACTAGGCAATTATCTAGATGAGTTGATGTACCCCCCTGGAAGACCTCTGCGTACGCCTGGTTGAGAACTCCTGGTTTACAGGAGTGGTGGTTTAAGGTAAAACTAGTAAACTGGGGCACACTGCTCCTCCAGGGGAACAGGATCTGGAATTTCTGTAAGTTGCCAATTAAAGGGGCTGGATATCACAGTGGAACACTTCAAAGGGACTTAGGGAGAGAGATGCATCTATTGTTAGCCTGCAAGGTGAAGACAGGGCTGGCTTAGCCTAGAGGAAAGTGTCCGAGAGAGTGCCTGAGAAAGGCTGGCGGTGTCAAGAAGCTGACACCCAATCAGGCATAGGCAAGACTCCCTCATGCCGGAGGCAGGGGTAATGACTCACAGTACTGGGTACCCCAAGAATCATCTTGATTTTTTAGTAAGGCTTTTGATGTCTCACATGTACTGATTCCTTCCCTACAAATCCATTAGGCCAGTAATCCTGTCAAAGAAGGAAATTAGGTTGGTTTGACATGATTTGTTTTTGCAAATCCATACTGGATATTCCTTATAACCCTATTGTCCTCTAAGTGCTTACAAACCGATTGTTTAATAATTTGTTCCACTATCTTTCCCGGTATTGAAGTTAAGCTGACCGGACTACTATTTCCTGGGTATTCTTTGTTCTCCTTTTTAACTATAGGTACTGTGTTTGCCCTTTTCCAGTCCTCTGAGACCTTACCCAACTTCAATGAGTTCTCAAAAATAATTGCTAACAGTTGGGAGATTGCTTCAGCTAATTCTTTAAGTACCCTAGAATGAATTTCATCAGGTCCTACTGACTAGCATACATCTAAATATTCTTTAAACCTGTTCTTTCCCTATTTTGGCTTGCATTCCTTCCCCCTTGTTATTACTATTAATTGAGCTGAGTACCTGGTCACCATTAACCTTACTAGTGAACCTGAAACAAAACGGGCATTAAACACCACAGCCTTCTTCCTGTCACCAGTTATTAGCTCTCATTCCCTGCTAAGTAGAGCACCTATACTTTCCTTTGTCTCTCTCTTGTTCTTAATGTATTTAAAGAACCTCTTATTACCTTTTATGTTCCCTGATAAGTTTAACTCATTTTATGCCTTAGTCTTTCTGATTTTGCCCCTACATGGCTATGATATTCTTTTGGACAAATTGCCAAGAAAGAGTACAAGTTTGCTCCATAATAGCAATGTATCATACTGTATAACTGCACCGCTACCTGTGTAAAGGCTAAAAGATTTATACATCAAGGCTGTGGGATCAATCATATTTTACTGTATTTCTCTTGGGTGTTCTGAACTTTGTTTTAGAGGCTTGAAAATTAGGTTTTAGTTGGTACTGGGTTTGCATGCAACAGGTGCTTAGCTTAGCTTTAAAAGTTGCCTATTTGTCCTATGTTGGTAATTTTGTTGTAATACATCTATAAGTATTGTTAAAAATACAGGAACTAATCAAAACAAATGCTCCAAAAACAGACATTTTATCCTTCAAAAAATCCAAGTGATTCAAAGCCCGGTTGGAAGTTACCTCCCCACCCCAAAATCTTAACTGGCGCCCCTGTGGGAAATGTGACAATATTTTAATAAAGTTACATAACTACATAAACTATGCCTACAACCTAAGGTATACAGCATGAATACACCTATGCTTTTTATTTTGATCCAAACCCTGTTTTTTTTTTGTCACAAGCATTCCTAAGTTGGCGTTTGGGACCCACACCAGGCTGAGATCATGCATATGGCCCACAGGAGCACTTCATCCTGGGCAGGTTCTATTCTCCTTGCTGTGCTTCCCTGGCAAAACAGAACATGCTGCTACCTGGTAAGCAATAGGAACAAGACGCACTGATCCATATTAACATGTGGAATTGGGACATTTGGTGTGTAGCATCGGTTTTGCCAAATATGTCAAACAACTACTTGATTAAGGCACTTATAACTTCTTGTCATCTCACTAAGAATCTACACAACTGTCAGACACATGAAAAGAATTTAACTACTGCTAACCTTCAGGAAGGGGAAAGCTGGAAGAGTGAAGAAATGGAGCTTAAATATCCAATTAGTGCAGAGATATTGCTATCCACTCCCAAAAGATGGTGCAAGGAATATGGCTGTTGAAAGTGTAGGCAAGGGAAGAGTTAAGAGAGCTGAGATCATGTTTGGCTACAAAGAGACAGGTCTAAAAGACCACAAGATTCAGAGGTAAGATAGCTCAAGAAAAAGCTATCTTAAAGCTTCCTACATTCTGAGAGTCTGGTTATATTAATCTTCTTGCCTCTCCTCTCTGTTTTAGTCACAACAAACAGAAATCTTACTATCCTGTTACAACAAGTATCCCACTTCACTAGGGTCACTAGAAGTCAGAAATCATTTTCATCATCGGGAAGTAAATACTGTGGGCTTGGCAACTGTTACAAGCCTCACATTAACTTTGGTCTCTGCCTTTGGAGCTTAAGTCTTTGGGAGAACTGCATGAGCAGAGGAGTGATAGAAGTGGTGATGGCTCACAAAAGAAAACAAAGAAGTAAAAAAAGTTTTGCTGGAACAAAGCAAAAGACATTTACAATCAACAAAAGTAATGAAGACATGAGTTGGGTAATTTCCTTTGTATAAGGTTTTGCTCCACTTTCAAAATGAGATGGTCAGGTGACTTTATGGCTCCCTCAGGAAAGCCTTTAAAAAAAACAAACCAAAAAACAAACAAAACCCTATATTCAGTTCCCTAGAATATCAATCCTATTCACACTGAGGTTGGTGAGATACAAAATGAGCATTTGGAAACTCCAAATTCCACAAGCATTCCCCCATTATGTTAAAAAAAACAACCCAACACAGTGGAACATTTTTAGGGGAAGTTTTCAAAGGAAATGCAACTATCGAAAGTAAGTGGTCTTTTTGGGGTAAGCTGAAGGATGAAGACATCCCAAGTGAATAGACATTCCTTTGGGAAAATGCAGGTAATTGCAAAGTTCGTCTCACTGTAAAATTTGCTAAAGGGATTCTTTCATCAAGGGAAAACATCTAAGGGTAAGGCTCCAGTGATCCTAAAATAATTTTCTAGTAATGCCAAAATTTTACATGTGAACTGCCCTAGATATGTGCAAGTCTACAGAGATCCAGACCATTAATACATCAAATCCTGAAAGAATTCCAGATTATCTTTACAAAGACAACTCCTCCTTGAAACAGTAGGTACGTCCTGTTTAGTCTTGCATCGCAATGGTGTGGTGGCCCTATTAGTCTATACCGCCAGGAATGGTGAAGTCCTTGTAAGATGTCACTAAAAGAAGCCTGTAGGCTGGGATTTTGGAGCTTAACTATCTTCGGCTTGTTTGAAAATCCCAGCCTTCAAAACTCCACTATAAGTCCCATTACTATAAAAATTCTTCACTCTCAGATGTTTTGTATAAAGTTACTGCTCTTCTCTGTTATACAGTGTTTTGTTTTCTGCCTCTCCAATAAGCAATAGCTCTAAGATTTGAAACAAAAGCGATAGCTCTAAGATCCCAAAGAGGGGAAAGAAAAAAAGTTACTCAGCGGATAAGTGTATTCCTCTGGAGTAAAAAAAAGAAAAATACAGTTCCAGATGTATTCATTGTATGTCACTATACTGTATACTTACTCATATTTGCAAAGAGTACAATCACTTAAGAAGTAACTGTATACTGTCAACAGTGCCTTAAAAATAGTTTATATGGCAGAAAAATATCCAGAGGGCAAAGGGGACAAAAGGGGAACAGACTTCATACTATTTACCTTGATGAGTCATAGTGACAGGTTCCTCACTGGATATATTGTTGTAAATGACCACAGCTGTGGCATTATGTGAAGCTGCTCGCAATATTTTCTCTCTAAATGTACAGTTTCCTCGTTGCAGCAAGGCAATCCACTGCTTGGTATTCGGAGGAACATGGAAACGTGTTCGAGGATCACAGCCCAGACGATCCACCACTAAAAAAAGGAGAATGTATACATCAGGGATTTGTTCAAACTGGCAAAAAAGTTAGAAGGAAAACAGAAAGAAATGTTTGCCAAAGAATTCAGTTGTCTTATACTTGAAAGTTATTACTCTCTGGCTACCAAAGCCTAAAACAAGTTGCATGCCTAAAGAGAAAGTCCCCTTAAAAATATTTTTAAAACCTCATACTCATTAGGAGCTGTGAATACATATGCCTGAGAATTAATTTAGTGATCACAAAGATATTTTTAACTCCACAATGAATTAATAGTTGAATCAATACTTGCTAAGGGGGAAAAACAACATTAAAATATGGTTTATGTGCCATAGGCTTTACCAAGCATCTGTTTCTCAGCCACACAGGGTTTTCTCCTTTTTAATGCAGTTATAAATATCATTCCAGTGTGAAGTATGGCTAAACAAAGGAGGATGTGAAAACAAGCTTTTAAACAAGTTCTGTCAAGTACAGACTAGTGCTAATAATGGTCTATCTTAAGAACATTTTGATTCAACTAATTACCAATTTACCAGGTTTCTACTACAGTATTAATATACTGTCAGAATAAAAAAAAATCAGTTATACCTCTTAATTTCAACACCTCTGTCAGAGCCTTCCTATAGTACTCCTCATCCATCCAACAGTAAAAGAGGAAGTGTCATACAATTTCTCCTGTGACACTGAGAAACCAACCCACAATACAAAAAGGGACAAAAAATCAAGGTACAATATATCACTTGTGGTACAACATCTGACACCAATGCAAAATGGTTCTGTTTGCACATGGCTGGAAAGTTACTGCTTAGACAGAAACTAATGCTGGCCTCATTCAAGAAATTGTAGCATTATTAAATAGTAACTTACAAGAGAGCAAAGTGGTAACATCTATAGTATTTAAAAAAAAGAGTCAATGTTACAGCCTTCAACTACCAAAAAGAAAAATATCACTAGCTACCAATAAGGTTAAAACCAATAGTGGTTTTGTTTAAATGTGGTAAGTCTACTGAAAGCTTTTCAGATAGCACTTTATAAAAAAAAATTAAGTCAAGTATGCTATAACTTTGTGCCCTTTAAAAAAGTAATAAAATGTGCTTCTCCATGGCAACCTGCATTTTCTGGACAAGTCTATTTGTGACATTTACTACACAACCATCCAGCCTACTACATGTAACAAGAATCCAAACAGAAGGCCTTTGTAAGCATTGTCGGGCTACGCTGGAAGGACAGCAGATACTGGATATGCTTTAATTAGGCTGAAACTTTATTTCTACATGACTAGGAGAATCTGGCAGATAAAATCGTTCAGTGCAGGTAATTCCATACTCATCTACATATACCCATGGGGCTGCTGGCAGCCCTCCTCCTTACCCATCCTGGGCCCAGCCAACTCACTACTGGGACCTCATTATCCCCTCAAATGAGGGTTAAGAGGGTAAAGAATGGGGGGGCCGACTTCCTGCCATGCCAGTCATAAGAGCCCCAAGCCCCCCACTTCCACTCCTTTAAAGAATACCTCCTTTAAATCCTTTCCCAATCCATTTTATCTGATCACCGTATCCATTCCCTATGAAGTATCTGTATTCGACATCCGCCCCAAGCTTACATAATCACAGCCTAACTCCTGTCCTTTTTGTTCTTTGTCCCCCCACTAAGCCCTCAACCTGCTGTGGGGAAGGCAAAAAAAAAATCCACCTTGTCTTGGCCAATCTGGTGGTCAGGGAAAAGATCCTTCCTAGCCCCTCAAGAAAGGGGAGACTAGTATAATGCCCACAGCTGATCATGACGAAACCTGGCATTTCAACTACTTCTATGGGTGGGAAGGCGAGTGCTGCTCAGTCTGGTCCAGATGAAAAGAGGGCTTTTACTGCATAGACATGGACATAAACAGTCCCCTTCTCTTCTGGTCACCTAGCATCCCCACGCTGTCATGGTATGAAGCTGTCTCCACACAGCAGGTAACTCTCTAGCTGCCATTAAAGGGGCAACACAACCTTCAACAAGCCAGACAAAGGTCCCCATTGTTTAATATGCAGTGAGGTCACTCTCTCCAAGAGCAGGAGAATGTGACAAATGGGGTTTTCAAATGGTTAAAAGATCACCATCCATCCTAATTTCATTTGGGTGGATGAACCTGTATTAGGGACATCTTTACAAAAAATTGTTTGATCACTTGCCTGGGACAAGTAATTTGACAGGAAATTAAGTTTTTTCCATCAACATTGCAAGAATTAGTAACTAAGTTATGTACCTGGGTTTTGTACAACTCCATGATGGTTCTGCAAGGTTAGATTAAAATATTTCAGGAATCGTTATAAAAGCTACTTAGCTGAATTCTTAAATCTGAATTTCATTTCTTTTCTGAACTCTAACAAAACTCTGAAATCTATAAGTTTGAAACTGGAATCTCTTGCTTTAAAATCAGGTGTTTTCTTCCATTACATTGACACATAACTCACCTATTTTAAGGTTTATGGTAACCATTAATCACTGGCACTGAGTCACAAAAAAGTATTTTAGGAGCACTGATATTGTATCAAGTTACTGATAATCATAAGAGTACCTTTGTATATTGCGTGTTTTTATTTAAAAGTACAATAAACCAGTTACAAAAGCGAAAGTAGCACATGTATTTGTTTTAAAAATCACTCAAATTACACTGCACTCTGCAAAAGGGACAAAAAAAAAACGTATGTCAAGCTTTGGACATACCAATCTCGACTATGTCCATTTAGATAAAACTGTTTGCTATTTAATAAATACTTCCCACTTGTTCAGAGCAATAGTCTAAGAACTGGAAAAAACTGGACTATCATGAGCATGGCAATAAAACATTCAAATTCCCAGAAGGCCAAAGGCATATATATATTTCCTCAGCAAAATCAGATTCCAATAACTGTGGCATAGCATACACACATCCAAAGATGAAGCTCAATGTAAAACCAGAATTTCACACAAACTCCTTGGCTTAACAATGAGAACTCACAGGATATTTTTCTATCTCTAATTTCCTATTTTTAGCTTAACTACTGCAGCTCAAAGCAGAAGCTATATCCAATATTATTAAGTTTGCATTTTTTTTAAAAGCAAATACATGCAAATTTTATCCTGGGAAAATAGTTTAATCAGATTCTGAGATTACTTTTTTCATTGCAATCACTATCAAGGCTAAGAAGTAGTAGGAGCAAAGACAGGCAATATGCAAGAGGCAAGACAAAATAATTATGATAGGAAACAAAGACGTCAGAAGAGTTACATTAAATAGATGAGGTAAGAAAATTTGACAATAGCTCCATTTTTAATACATCCCATTGTAATTAGATACTGTAGTATCTAGGATGTTAAGCTCACCCAGTGCTGCCAGGGCCACTGAAACTAGAATGGCAGCCTAAAAGTCTTCTTACTACATTAAGTTTTATAGTTAGACCCTCATTCCAGAATTTTGAAAGTGTGTGAAAACTGTAGCCATACATTTTTTACATTAATTCAAATCACTATCCCTTCACACATCACTCAAAGTTTAGCCCCCCCAAAAGCTATTATAAACCTTAAACTATTTTATAATGGAACAGAACTAGTACCTACAGCAATAGAAGATGCTATTCGTTAGTTACCACTTCAGGGCTAGTTTTATCTTTTGTGGCGATAAAATCGTTCAGTGCAGCTGGCTCACTGGCAGTAGTAGCCAGCTGCCGATAGGGAGGAGGAAAGGCTGTGTTCCATCTGGCCCCACGGGCAGGGTGCTGTGAGGAAGTGGCATGGGATCGGGGGGATGCACAGCAGGACACATGAGGCTACTGGGGAGTCACAGACTAGTGTTCAGAAGGACTAGTGGGAGCGATAGATTGGGAAAGGGGCTGAATGCGAGCGCAGGGTCAAATGGGGATGGGAGGAGGGGTGACTGAGCGGAGGTGCAGGGCCACAAGGGGACAAGGACAGCTGTGCCTGACTGACTGGGAGACGCCAGGGTCAGCCAGGGTCTGCATGTGGGAGGATCAACGCCCTAACAATCCCCCACCGCGCAAAAAAACCCACCCTGTTCCATACTTCTCCCACCCACACCCAACAATCCTCCAAGTTCACTCCCAGGCTCCTTCCCAGCAATTACTTCCCTCTCCCTCAGCTCCTCCGATATCCCTGACTCCCCCAAGCCTTTGCACTGCTTCTGAGGGGTGTGGAAAATACGTTTCTGTATTGTAGTTTAAATCAGTGGTTCTCAACCAGGGGTCCAGGGCCCCTTGGAGGGCTACGAGCAGGTTTCTGGGGGGTCACCAAGCAGGACCAGCATTAGACTTGCTGAAAGCTGAAGTCCCACTGCATGGGGCTGAAGCCCAGACCCTGAGCCCCACCACCTGGGGCTGAAGCAGAAGCCTGAGCAACTTAGCTTTGCGGTGCCCCCTGTAATGTGGGGCCCTGGATAATTGCCTTGCTTGCTACCCTTCATGCCGGCCCTGGCTTTCATATGCAGAAAACCAGTTGTTGTGGCACAGGTGGGCCGTGGAGTTTTTATAGCATGTTTGGGGGGACCAGGGGGTCGGGTTGAGAACCCTTGGTTTAAATGAATTGTCACTCAAAGTTCTGTATTAATATGCCTAGTAAGGAATCTATTCGCCAAAAAATATTTCCTGAATCTGTGTTGTCTTTATTGTTAGACATAGTTGCTAACCGGTATTTTAAAATACGCAGAATTTTGAAATACTGTGAGCAGAATTTTTCATTTTTTGGTGCACAATTCCCCCAGGAGTAACTCATGCAGGATCTGTTACCAGTACTGGAGCTATGTAAGAGAAAGAAAGAAGAGGATCTCTCTCTCACTAGAATTTTCTGACTAAGCTTTATGAAGAGATGGACTACTAGACTTGTTTGAGCGAAAATATTTCCCAAAAATTTTAGTTTTGTTTTAAAGTACTACATTGAAAAAATTAGAATGACTGTAACTCACATTAAGTGATAAGGTTGTATTTGTTAAACTTCCTAAAGAGCAAAAGGAAACATGGA